TCTGAACTTTACGAGCAGTTCCTGCAGGGATGTGGTTGTGCGTCTGGAAACCTTTCAAAGAGTGCCCAGTATCACTGCTAGTTCCTGGCTATGTTAGATGGCTGGTGACTAAACGTGTCGACTATACTAATTTATTGTGATTTGAAAAGTTGCATATCTGCACTTGAGTTAGCGTAGATAGATATTGATGTTAGCTGGCTGTGTGTAATCGATCTCAAACCGATGTTGTCTGTCTTCAGTTAAGTGATGAAACTTTGTATTAAGAGAAAGCAGCGCTGAATGAAGAGCAGACGGAGCAGTAGGCCACCTGATGAATGGCTTCACTTACAGCCAGCAGCATAATGCTTAGTCATGATCAATCATCACCCACATGCCTCGACTCCTCTCCTCTTCTTCTCGCCTCCTCTCCTCTTCTAAGTCATGGTCTTCTCTATTTTTCTTTCTGTTATCTGTTCATTTCCTGCTTTTTGCCCTACACTCTTCTCTTTTCTTCTCCTTTGTGTCCATCTTCTCTTGACCCTTATTTTCTCATCCTCGTCCTTTCTCCCCCCTTTCATCTTTCCACTCCTCTTCCTTTCTTCCATGTTTATCTTAGCAGGGACAGTGGAAATTCAAGCATCACCAGTAATCATTGTGTTTATTACGTTACATTTTAAAGTGATATTAACCAACTGAAAATTAAAGTACTGTATATAGTGCGACACGATAGTAACATTAAACATTTGGGGACTGTCCACCCCTCCTGGTCAACAGTGGAAGAAACGAGAAAGACCACAATACTTAGGGAACTTGGATTTCCTAATTGGGAGAAAATGGGGAAATAAACAATATAAAAAACTATTTTAAATATCAAAATATTATATACAGATGTAATTTTATTCCTATTAATTTCTATGCCCATCCATGAGTGAAAGAGCAGCCCACAAAGCATAGTAAAAGAAGTAAAGTCTTATTTCACTTATGCTTTAAATTCCAGGTAAGGTGTGACAAATCATTTTCCAATGTGTTGGAGGTTAAAGCCTTAATGTCAAAACCATTAATTGCTCTATTTTAGCATTCTGTACTAGGGCAGCAATTTTGGTGTGATCTCAGGTAATTGACAGGTATGTGATTCATCTTTAGAAGTTTTTACTTGGTGTCACACTCAACTTGGGTAAACCAACAACACCTAAACAGTGGAAAGCAGCTTGATTGACACAAAGTAAAGCATCTACGTAAGTGAGCTTAAAGAGATGTAACCATTTTTGTATTTTTTTCCCCAGTATGGATGGTTTGGATGGGAGTTTTTGACATGCAAACTGATCTCTATTCACATTAGTGTGGACAAGGCCAGAGAGACCACAGTACACTAAAATACCAGGGATGGGCAAGTCCAGATAAGCATCAAGTTAGAGCTGCCTCCCAGCAGAGGAAATAGCATTAGCTTTGTTGTCACACACACACATACACACACACACACACACACACACACACACACACACTGACCTCTTACTCCCCAGGTTGCCATAGAGATACTGCTCCCTCTTTACACACTCCAAAACAGCTGGCCATATGAAGGCAATTGTGTGTGTATACATGTGTGTGTACGCTCCATCAATTTTAATGGTTGTATGTTTATTGTATATGTCATATGCATACAGCACCAGATACGCTGCTTTATTAGATTTCATAGAGGCTCCACCTTCATTGCCAGTACTCATTGAATGGTGTATAGGCCCCGCACTTCCCAGAATCCACATGTCAATCAAACAGTGTGGGTGTGGCTTTGGATTTTCTGTTTTTTGTAGATGGGATTTTTTTGTTTCTTATTCACGCTAACCATCCAATTCTTCTTCTTCTGTTTAATCAAAACAACACAGAGGTGAATCTGATATTGTCCTCTTTGGAACAGCGTCTCCTCCGTTTTTCTTCTTCCGTCTCCATATTGACCTTGACTGTGAGACGGAAACCTCTGGCTCGAGCTCTTACCTGTAATGAATGGCTTGTCTGGCAAACCAATCGAACAATTGCAACAATCCAATGCTTTGCTCATCTGCTGGGGCTCTTATTAAAACAAATGGTTAAAATCAGTCTCATTCATTCTCATCACAAACTATTAGCCTGCTTCCCAGCATGTTGTTAACCACCTCACCAAACTGCCGACTCGTCTAACTTTAACACAATGTAATCTTGTATTTCCTGGAACATTACACTGTCTGCTTGCTGTGACCTCTGACCCTTGAATCTGTGATCCAATGACTCATAATAATCCACTGCCAGTCAGACTAAAATGTAATACTGTAGGGTCCTAGATGCAAAGAGGGAAGGTCATTGCTGACTGACCCAGCAATTTGATGCCCATATCTAGTGTCACACCTGGGCAGTTCACTGCACCTGCCACAGAGTCAGTACCTTCAGTTAAATCATATACACCCCCAAAATACTGGGAATACTTCTGCTGCAGCCAGTTCTGCACTGTGGATGCTGTCCTGCTCTTCTCCAGGTGAGCTGGATTAGTTTTTTCATGAGTGTGTGGTGTGAGTTTGAGGTCTAAGCCCAATTCCAATGTTCTCTTGTATGTATGTGTGTTATTTAAAGTCTTTCTCGATAAAATGTAAAAGATCTGGAAATATTGGAATTGAGTCCTCCATTTCATGATTACAGACATTCCCCCCCCCAGTAGTGGTGGTTGGTTTCCATTGGTTTTGGTTTAAAGGAATAGAAGTACATTTTGTGTGTCACTGGTCCCAGTCAAGACACATTTCAGCACATAAACGAGCAAGATATGTTTTAATCAGTGAGTTTTAGAGGTGCTGGTAATTCCATTTTTTTAACTTTTGTGTAGAGCCAGACTAGCTGTTTCCCCGTTTCCAATCTTTATGCTAAGCTAAGCTAAGCAGCTGGCTGGCTGTTCTTATTTTGTCCATAGATATGAAAGCGGTATCGATCTTCTCATAAAACTGTAATCCCAAAATGTCAAATTATTCCTTTAGGTTTGGGTCCCACTGTAACATAAACTCAGCATGTTTAATTTTCAGAAGTCTTTATCCTGGTATAAATAAAAATCTCGACTCTATATTCATCCAGGTCTATAAACAATGGGAGCTGGACAGGACAGCCAGAGTCTCGTGGGCAGTGGAGTGGAGTAGCTGGGGTTTTTTCCCTTGATGTATCAAGCAGTTTTAACATTTGTGCCAGTGACTAATTTTGAAGATAACAAGGTGTACTATTTCATCGACCCAATCCTTTTCTGTATTTTGGGCAACTAAGGGTAAAATCACTTTCTGCAGCAGTGAAGGCAGTTTTCTAGCTGAATGAACACGGATGAAGTATGGAGCTGTACAACCAGCACTCCCTGCAGCTTTGTCTCCGCTGTGAAGCTGTGAACTATCATGAGCAGACGGTGCTTTTTCAGAGGAAGGATTTTACTAATTAATTTTTAACTGTGTGGCAAAATTAGATTTTTAGCTTTAGAGGCATTTACCAATGTGTGTCTCATAGGTTACTGGTCAGGTGGTCTGTGGCTGTGAATGTAAGACTAGATGTCAAAGAGGAAGTCCCAGCAACAATAAGCAGGAGGAAAGAGATGCACAGATAAGAAGTGTTCAGCAGGCTCACCATCAGCTTCAACAACAACATTTGACAGCTCATTAAGATGAATGGCAGTTGCTGGGGCAAGAATCTGAGGGGCAAGACTTTCGGACTGTTTTGGATATTTCAGAAGCTCACAACATGAATACATGAATGTATTATAATTTACAAACATGGAGGGACAGCTGTTAAATTATTGTGGTAATTTGAGCTTGTTCAGCCAAACATAGTTAATACGAGTTTAAGGCGACTACTCTGCTGTGTTCTGTCACTGTGTTACCTTGAAAGCAGTTTCAAGTGTGAAATTGCTGTCTAAATGAGGTAGAGATCAAATTATTAGCATACATGTAAATGAACTCACTGAAATACATGCATAGAAACTGCACATTGGTTTATTTATTAACCAAAAGACATCACAAAGCTAAGTTGGCCCAGAGTTCCTAATTAAGAAAAAGGGGGCACATTTCAGCCCATCGTGTCATCTTCAGTGTAGTGGTTCAAGAAAGTGGAACCACTTTAGTCACCCTTCTTTTGAGCACTTCTTTTGCAACATGTTAGGCTTGTTTGCTCTCTTACCTGGTTGTTGAAGCTTTTTAAATACTGCAGCATGTGGTGTTGCACAAACCCCAGACCAGATTCTCTGACTTCCACCACCTTAATCTTCCCAACTGGTCCTGGGATACAGTAGTACGAATCTGAGAGCATCTCAGTTTTGTAGTGCAGCACAACCCTGATTGGTCAGCCAGGCCTCCCTTCTCTGTCGATATTTGCGTCGACTTGGTTGCAACAGTAAGTAGATTAAGGGACCAGTGATTGAGGGCAAATCAATTACTGTAGCTCAGTGGTCTGTGTTTGGGGGGGTTTACTGTAGCATTTATTTACTGTGTGCAGGGCACAACCACATTACCCAGCCTACTTTTCTAATGGGAACGTCCTGAACAAACCATCATCATAATATTGAGGTTACAATCCTTATATCTATCCATATCACTATCATATCACTATAATGTTCTTACTATAGCCATTTTGTTCCTGAGGTAGGGCAGTGCAAGTGTGTGTTACACTGACATTATTGGACTTTATGCTATTTATACTCACAATCATTTCATTTCTACAGGCTATAGTACACAATGGGTATCTACTAGAGGTCATAGTTTATGATTTGGTACTGTATTTGTACTCTTACTGTACAGTACCACTGACAATCTTAAAATATTCTGCCAGGTATCTACAGTGAAGTGGAATTGAATTAACGTGTAGAGACCTCACATCTTAGTAATATTTCCTCCAGTAACAAGCTTATATTTCCATAAATATTTGTTATAGTAACCCTCTGAAATGTACTATATCAAGTACATTGGCAGGGAGGTAGTGTGATGTGGGGCGTCTCCTCTCCTCCCACCGCCTCCTCCCAGTCCGCCCAGCAGCGGACTCCGTCATTTCACCTCCTCGTCCCTCACTTGTTGGATGTGTCCGTTGAATTTCTGTTGTTTTATAGCTTCCTTGTGGTTGTTTGCACTCTTGGAGTCCCGAGAAGACCACTGTTGTGCGTGAAGGTTGAAGCGTTTTTACAGGTTACGTGCGCGTAAAAAGCGCTTACTCTGAAGCGTTGTCCTCATTCTTACCTGTTTGTTTGCGTACCGTGATTATGCTCCGTTTTTCCGTGTCTATCCGCCGTGGCTGTCTCTGCTGCTGCCGTCACTCTCACCTCTAGTCTGCTGGTCCCACGACGGGAGTGTTGGGTTTTCCTGGCGGCGTCGTGCGCCCTGGACTCCGGTTCATCCTTGGAGAAGTTCCGCCGCAGTCCCATGCTCAGCGCTTCTCTGCTTTCCTCCTGCTGCTGCGATAAGGATGCTGCTGGCTTTTCCTGCTCAAACTCCACAGGATTAGACTGAGTTGAACAAACGGACCATGTAACCAGGTCAGGTATGTGAAATAATGAAAAGGGGGAGATGGGGGTCACATTTTAGGTTTGTTATATTTGAGGAAAACCCTTTTTAACCCGGGGTCTGGAATCAAATGTCAGAGGTGGTCCTTTCACTCGGACCCTTGATCTGAAGGAGTCCTCCCCTTTTAGTTGCAGTGGCGAAAATATAAAGGTTCACATTACATAGCATATAGATTTGTGACTTGAATTCAATTACACTTTCAATTCAACATGAAATGTGCCTTTAAGGCTGCCAGAGGAGAGGAAGCGGAGAGTGGAGCAGCTCAGCAGGAGCTGGAGTCTTGGGGTTTTGCCATTTTGCTGCTGCTGTGATCTTCTGTCACACTCCTTCAGTCTGGTCTAAGTGGCCTGCTGCCATTTAGTAGGGGAAAAAAACCCTGCATCATTTCAAATAAAAAATGTTGTGTTAGAAAGAAAGGCTGTGGCTGCCAGGGATAGAGATGGGATACCCACTTTGGTCACCTGTATTGAAATTCTCTTCAGTCGTGAAGCATTTTGGATAGAAAGAGGGCACAGGTGAAGGTCCTGGGTCTCAGCAGGGTTCAGCAAGCACTCACACTGCTGGGATTAGAGAGGTTCAGTTCCTGCTGGAGCCACTCCTGTTGAAAATTGTTCGATTGAAAGTGCGTCACTGTATTTTAGACTGAATACTTGATAATGTGACAATATTTGATGAAGATGATGGAAAGTTCATAGGTTTATATCAGCTGTAATGCAGCCTTAACACACCACCCAGGTGAACTTCACCAAAACTGTTCTTCTGCTCCTGCTACTGTTTGAACCATACACATGATATTGGTTACTGATGGTTACTTATTGGCTGTTAACAGGATCTACTTTTTATAGATACAGTGGGCATTGTATAGTAGAAACCTCTGTCTGAAACAGCTTGTGCGCTCAAAGGTGTATGTTGTGCATCTACTTGGCTTTGTCTCAAATATGTTCATATTAAACACATAAAACCTTCACAAAACCAACTTAAATATTCATTCACCATGTGCACATAGCAGCTAAAGTACAGTATGTGCAGCGTATTGATCTCCCACGTCAACAGCCAGCAGCAGGTGCTGTGCCGCTCTGACCCATTTCTCACAGAGGAAGCTCGAAAATACAGCTTGACTAAATAACTGTTGAGCAGTCTTTCTATATCCTCCTGTCTCCACCCCGCCCCAAACACACACACACACACACACACACACACACACACACACACACACACACACACACACACACACACACACACACACACACACACACACACACACACACACACTCATACCCTTCTTAATTCCTCCACCTCCAGTGGCTGTGATACAACAGGAAGTGGACTGATTTCCCAGAGGAGTCTGCAGTCAGGCTGTCATAGCTAACACAGCAGCAACAGACAAAATGTATTTAATACACAGCTTGTATAATGGTGTGCTGTGCCAACAGTTCAAAACACTAAGGGAAATTACAACTAGCTGCTAGCAACATTTGGTCTGTCTGGGGTAAGTTGTTCTGTAACAGCCTCTCTGGCTGGGAAACTAAATATTTGATCAACCTCAGTTAATTTAGGAAACAGTTAGCCCAAGCTGCCTTATTAACCCTCATGGCAAATCCTCATGGCTCGTCATTATTGCTGCTGGGAGACAATTTCTATCACCAGTTTTGGTGGGTTTTCCATTTTCATTCACTTTTTTGCTTCAGCTAAAGAAATACCGCAATTTTTTGACCTTGTTTGGACCGATGAGACCTTTTCAAAACCAGATGGACAAACTCTGGTGCTGTGATTTAAGCCAAAAGCAACGATACGTTGGTCACATGCATCCTGACCAGCCTGCAGATGACCGAGAACTGGCCTTGTATAAACTTCTGTATTTTAAAAGTTTTATAGACTTCGTGGATGAAAGTGTTCTGAAGTATCTGAGTCATGGTTGAGCAACTGAAAAAAAAAATTAAAGAACCTCAGACTGAAGAGCCGAGCAGGCTGGTCAAAATTATGTCATCTAGTGAAAGCGTGACCCACAATCTCACATCACATCCACACAAGATTGGCAGCTGAAGGTTTGTGGGCTTGTTTGTAAGTCATACTGTAATTAAAGTAAGTGTCCCAACATCATGACCAGCTCTGGGTTGTATGGAATTTGAATAAGGCTTTTTTAAATTTGAAGTAAGGACACTGATACTATAAGATAGGAGTATGAGTCATAGATTCAGTCTCTCTTGCTTTCTGGAGGCAGACTATGGTACTCTCTACCTTTGGTTGTAAAATCATGTCTTGCTTCCTCCTGCTGACACTCCACTGAGTGTATTTTCTGGGACAGCGTGCATGCAAAAGTGTTTTTAAGCTGAGGTAGTAGTGTATATACAGTATGTGTGCACATGTTGTGCGTGTGTTTGTTGGGTCGGGGTTGTGTGGAGAGTCTCAAACTACCCTGGGAAAGTATTTCAGTGTTTCAGGAGTGGTGTGTGAATTATTGAAAAGCCCTCAAGGTTTTTCTAGCTGCTGGATCAGTATTTCTTGCCATACCTTTGCGAGTCGAGTGCACTGTAGTCACACTTTAAAGGTGAGATGAGCTGTGTCCAAACTGCACTGCAGCACAGGAAACGTAACTCCGGCACTAGCTCGTCTTAAAGTCTACAATGACCAACCGGCTATCATTTTAGAACAGATTTGAATCTATGATTTGAGTATGATTTGTCTTTGGTAGATGTGTCGGGGAGAGGAATATCCTTAGCAGTCACTTTTACTCATGGATATGTTATACACAAATAATGAGGAATTAATTTGCTCCAGTGACCCTCCCAGCAGAACTTTTTGCTCAGGTCAGGTTCACATAACAATGAAATATTAAAGTTTCTCTGGCGCAGCCCGGCAGATTTCCATATATGAATGACACTAAAATAATACGGCTCTTGTTTTAATGGACATCGAAACTAATGTTTTGTGTTGACATATAAACATAGACAGAAACTAAACCAAAGTATATGCAATATTATTTATTGTTCATCAGGGTCACAACACAAGAGTTACTGCATATTCCACAGCACGCCAACTTTCTTGCATTTCTGTCTCCTTCCTTCCAATGGTAGCATATTGCTGCGATCCAAGAAAAAGAAAATCAGGCTCAGTATCATGTAAAAATGTAAAAGGTTTATTGTTATAACAAGAATATTTTGGCGTTATTACGACATACAAACTTATCACTTTATAACAAGAAACTTATACTACTTATCTTGTTACAACATAAAATGTGTCATATTATATATATATATATATATATATATATATATATATATATATAATAAACTTATTATTATAACATGTAATGTGTCGTGTTATAATGTGATAGCTTGTTGTTATTGTAACAATTTAAGTTATCATGATATGACATGAAACAATATACAAAATATTATAACATGCTATCAATCCATTTTTCTTTTTCTGGCATGGCAGCAATACGCTTCCATAGCTCTCCTCTCTTTTCCCTTCACTGTCTCATATTAGATAAGACCATCCCTCTTGATGTTCGGCAACCAATCAGTAAGACAAGCGACCACCATTTGACCTCAACAGTTATGGTGATTTATTTAGCCATTTATGGGGGTGGGAATTTTAGGAAATCTGTAGTTTTACAGTATATTTTGTAATGGAGGTGTATGGCAAATACTAAAATACAGTAAATATCCTCTCTTGTTTACAATGAATCAGAATCTGAGCCAGTTTTACATGATGCAATGTCCAAATTGCTTGACCCAAACAAAGATGGCTACCTGTTCTGGGAATGATCACTCTTTACTATTCCAGTTCCAATGTATTAAAAAGTAAAATCGTTTCTTTAAAATATATTGCTTTTAACATGTTTTTTGTTATAAGTACAGACAATGGTATTTCCATGGGGGATGGATGTTGTGGTCAAGTAGTATTGATAAATGGTTCTCTTACTTCAAACCTATTCGGTTTTGTGGCTGCACTGCATTTACTCATTATACTGAACTATAGCCACAAACACAAAAAGCTAAGAGATACTCTGTTTTTCTGTCTTTTACACAATATGATCTTTCTCTTATCTGCAGACAACAAGTTAATATCTTCGAACCACCATCACATTGTGGTTTGAATGAATTCTACAGGTTAATGAATATGAGACACTATTCTTTTGATTTCAGTTACTTGGTGGCTGGTATCGCAACTTAACGTGACTCTAACTGTGTTGCGCAAGGTGATGTGTGGCGTGTGGATGTGAACGCAGCTCTGAAGCGCAGCCAGGGTGGGTGAGGATGAGGCCAGTGAGAGGAAGGCTTGTTGGCAGAGCCGGAGGCTTCTGGAACAGAAACGCTGTTATCTGCTAACGTAGCTCTACTGCTGCTGGCTGCTGTGTCTGTGGTGACTCATCAAAAACATACACACACACACACACACACACACACACACACACACACACACACACACACACACACTCACATATACACATACAGGCATACACACTTATAGAGACACTTCCAGACATAATCAGACAGACTAACATGAGCGCCTGCACAAAATACTGACAAAATACTCTTTGACATACTCACAGTTAGATAACGTGACATAAGCACAGACAATCCTCTGAATAATCACAGACACACACATGGACATTGATGAACACAAACACATACAACCTACTGTAAGCCGGAGTGACATTTCCTCAGTGTGACAAGCAGTCATATAAAATCTTATAAAATTTCAACTTTGAACCACATTATTGCATTTATTTATTTTATATATTGATTAGACTAGATATAAGATTTTGTATAAGAACACAATTTGGAAATGTGATACAAGCACACAACACATGTTTTACTATAAAACCTTCCCTCTTAGTAAAAAAACCTGTACTCATTTTAAATTCTTTACTTTAAAGCTTAAATCTTTCCAGCTGAGGGAACACTCTGCTCTCACTGTTCATGCATGGACCTCCCTCTTTAATCAAATGCCTGCCCTTTGTCATCACTG